GGTGTTTTTTGTCCTTTTTCCTCCTAATTTTTTGGAGGTAAGGCGGACAAGCATTAACCCCTTAAAATTATTAGTTGATATTTGTGACTTTATTAAATACTACTTAATATTTAACACATTAATTAATATAATTACATTACTTACTCTTTATTTAAATTATTTAAATCTCTAATTTACCTAAAAAAAATAATATGGACATCATTTTCAGTTTACATAAGTATTTCACATATAACTTTTTAAAAAAAAAATTGCTTAAAAGTCAACTATTAAATTTGAGAGTGGATTCTTTCTCACTAAGAGTCGACTCTAGTTTGCATCCAGAACTTCTCGACTCTCTGGAATTTCAAAGTCGAATTTTTATCTTTTAGAGTCGACTTTTAATATAGAGAGTTGACTCTATCCTGAGTGCAAAAAGGTGTATATATAATGGCCTTAACCAACTACCAGTCAAAGTGGTAATATCAGCAACATATTCCTTGTTACTGATGTTTTGGTTTGTAAAAATATAGGAACAACAGCAATATGGTATATGTTGCTAATACTTTAGGTGCTTTGAAATTTTCAGCAACATGTCCTTTGTTGCTGCTTTCAGTAACATGTCCCTTGTTGCTACTTTCAGTAACATGTCCCTTGTTGCTACTTTCAGCAACAAGAACCATGTTGCTGAAAGTGGAGCTCATTTTAGGTGGGGAATGTGTAGTGTATGGTGACCGAAAAATTTTAGCAACATGGGGTATGTTGCTGAAACTTACTTTTATCAACATACCCCTTGTTGCTGAAAGTGGAAGTGGTGAAGGTGTATATATGATGGCTGGAGAAAGGTGTATATATAATGATTTTGGCCAACTGCCGGTCAAAATGATAATATCAGCAACATATTCTTTGTTGTTGATGTTTGGTTAGTAAAAGGATAAGAATAACAGCAACATGGTATATTTTGCTAATACTTAAGGTAGTTGGAAAAGTTTTAGCAACATAGCTCTTGATTTCAACAATAAGGAACAAATTGTTGAAAGTGGAGCTCAATTAGATGGGGAAATGGTTATCGAAAAATATCAACAACATAGAGTATGTTGCTAAAATTTACTTTCAACAACATACTCTTTGTTGTTGAAAGTGGAGTAGCTTTTCAGGGAGAAAAGTGTATTGCACAGCATTCAGCAACATGGGCCTTGTTGTTGATACAAATTTTCAGCAACAAAGAATCTCATGTTATTGATATATTATTGCTAAAAGTCAAAATTTTAGTAGTGGATTTGTTGGTTTGAGTAAAAGGAATTCGATTCCTTTTAAATAAAGTATTGAGTTCGAATATTGTAAATGGAGAAATAGATGCTGAGAGAACTTCTACCCTTATGTGTTTCGATGCGACTCGATTTTAAATTAATCGAGTTCAATATAATTACAAGATAGTGAAAGATTAATAAATAAATAAATAAATAACACTTTCCAAATCTAAAGGATTCCCTCCTCCTTACTCACGCTTTTTCTTTTTCCGGACAATTCCTATTCACTCGCGCTTGAGAGAGGCCACCCAATCGGTAAATCATCACATGCCTGCATCATGCATACGTTGAAAAATACTATATATATATATATATATATATATGTCTCACCAACCACAACATCCCTTTCAATTACCTCCATTTTTTCCTTTTCTTTTTGAAGTAGGCAATTATAGGAAAAGGGGGAAATTAGCAAGATGAGAAGGTGGGGATTAAACCGAAACCCGTTCACTCTTATTCGGGAGCAAGTGCACTTGCCCTGCCTAGTGGTCGGCATTATCTCCCATAATTTTGCGTAAGAGAGTATATGCCATTATTGGGCCCTCCAACCAAAGACCTTACTTCTAAGAGCCCAAACAAGATTGATATAAGCTCATTAATTGCATCATCATTTAAGTCTGGTAAG